GGGAAAGAGACCTGACCATTGCAAAGAATTCTGCTGTCTGGAATTGTCAGTCTCTGACACTTATCTGGTCACTGATAAAGACCTACTGGAAGGAAGCAAGTTTCTTCATTTGGGGCTGTGACCTGATAAACATCCTAAAAACCTCAGAAAGCAAATTTGTCAAAAGGCAATGAGCAGCCTTATGTGGGCTACCTAATGCTACCTGTTTATTCAAGATTGTGTGAAGTGAGGGCTTCTTTTATGGCTTTTGTTTGTTTGAGGATTTCGGCTTCATCAGACATAGTCACTGCCAGGAAAAGAGTCGAGTTTCTGACATGTCAGATCTCTTGTTGACTACATGCAAGGTCAAAAGAAATTTCAAGCCCCTTTGCTGATCCTGTGAACCAAGGACACCGCATTTTAGAAAATGAAGCTCTGATACAGTTTTCAACATCATATAATGTGTGTGAAGAGAAGTAGAAAGCAAAACCTTGAATTATTTAAGCAGCTTTTCCAGTAACAGAATCTATTACAATTCGGCAGTTAGAAAACATTCAAACAAGTCTGGAATTGAAATAAAACCAGACTAGACTCTGACTCTCAATGAAAGAATTCACAGAGGTGAGCAATTTTTTCCCCCCATATATCCTCATGGATACCTAGGTATCTCACTACTCTGTAGGAAGAAAAGTGAAATAACCTGGTAATACATCCCTAGAGATAAACAAAACCAGAACAAAAAAACCCAAACCAACCAACCAACCAAAACAGTAGTTTTGCAAAGTTTCTCCAAATACATGTTTCTTATGGCATAATGTGTTCCAAACACAGAGCCATTTGACAATATTACTACAGGCTTTTTAATGGCTTTCGAAAGTCACAGAGTGATTCATTGCATTCTTTTTGGCATGGCTAGTGTAGATATCAAGACTAATCTTCCTCTAGATTTTTCAGGAATGGATTTAAAAAATATTTCTGTAACACTCCTTCACTTACCTAAGATGACTGTATCATGCTTCCATGCCATCACACAACTGCTACTCTCTTAAAAGCAGATCATTACCATTTCCCAAAACAAAGCTGAAGTCTCACAGGCCTTTTGCCAACTCCAAATGTACATGAAAACCTTACCAATATAGGCTTTTTCAGATCTGCACTTCTCCTTACAAACACCCACAACAGCAGCATAATGCTTTCCCTCACCTTTTATTTTATACCCCAAAATGTTCTTTCTTTAGCCAGCAGCCTTATATTACTATTGCATCTCGTCCATACAAATGGCACATCACTCCACAAGGCTCATCTCAGACCAAACTTAGCACAAAGGGTCTGGAAAGGAGTTTATGAATACTGTCTATTGTTGGAAGCTTATGGCTGCCTGCACTGTTCAGTTCTGCTTCCTGGGCCCGTCATTCGTTAGAGCTTCCTGAAGATCAATCTTTTTCCACCCCCACTAGGACGGGCAATACACTTTCCCTCCTCTCCATTCCTGGATGCACAGGTCAAGAACTTCAAATGTAGAAGAAAAAGAATTCTTTGCAGACCTGCAAAGGGAGTCAAGACTCCCTGCTCCACTTGATCTCATAAAATTGTGTCGTAGGTTGAGGTAGATGATGTCTTGACTGTAGAAGAGGTGCTCAGGTACTTCCTCAAGGCTGTAGCATGAAAGATCAACCATGCTAAGTCGCATAGACACAACCTGAAAAGGAGGAGGAAAAGCTGCAACTGTGCAACAATTTTCTCTGGAAGTCTAATGCAAGGCCAAAACCTGCTAGAGGTAAACAATCTGCAAGAACCTGAAAGAACCCCTTGTACCTGCCAGATAGAGTCCACACAGGAAACTGAGTCCACAGAGTATGAGTTTATGCCATTTGCTACTTTTGTTTCTGCAAGTCCCCTGACAAGGACACTTACCTGGATACCAACTAGGACACACAGAAAGCCCTGCTCTGTACATGCAATAGGAACTGTCTAAAAACTAAACCGCAAGAGAGCCAAAGAAATGGAGAAAACCCTGTCTTTGGCCAAGGAAACTCTGCTGAGAAAGCATAACCTCCAAGTGCATTCGAAAGATGCAAGTAACAACAGGAAGCAGTCCACTTTCCAGTTAAGTCCTTCAAGGTTTACAGAATCTCTGCCTGGCCAAGTGATTTCTTCCTACTATCTTTTGTTACCTTATTTAGGGTGTAATATTGGAACCATACCCTGTTATGATGAAAAGGCTTCACAAATTACGATTTTGCAACACATTATAAAGTCTTTGCAAGTATCAGATCTCCCTTCATTAAGTATGCTTTGTTTCAAGGTCTTCAGTGCTTCGCTCCAGATTTTACAACCTGCTTTATCCTGAACTCATGTTGTATTTCATAATGTGTTTTATGTATATATATATATGCGTGTGTGTGTGTATATATATATGGATATGAGGTCAAAGTGTGGCTGAGCATTAGGCTCTCACCATCTAATTGTACTTTAATATGGAGTAAGGACGCAGCTCTGAACAAATTACGCTTCCCTTGCTGACCTATGATCTCTGTGTTAACTCAAGCCTATCAAGGTAGCACCATGCCAGTCCAGCCACAGTTTAGGCAGATGCAAGTACAGCAACAGGTGCAATTTACAAGTTTCTGTGGCAGTAAAGTCAGAGTGGCAGGAAAGGCAGAGTGGCAGGAAAAACACACAGGGGGGGCGCAGTAAAGTCAGAGTGGCAGTAAAGTCACAGTGGCAGTAAAGTCACAGTGGCAGTAAAGTCACAGTGGCAGTAAAGTCACAGTGGCAGTAAAGTCACAGTGGCAGTAAAGTCACAGTGGCAGTAAAGTCACAGTGGCAGTAAAGACTGGTAGTCCCTGGGGTTTGCTCTAGTGACCTGTGATTAGCTGCTCTCAATACATGCAGCAGGGGTGAAAACAATGCAGGACTACCACTCAACACTGTTGCACAGGCAGAGAGAGAAAATAAGATCAAAGGAAAATCTCTGTAGTTCTGAGCACCTAAGAAATGACAAAAGCTGGAAAGTGTCTGGGAACGTCTCCTGGCATCCCAGCTTCATCTCTGCCTGCATCCCAAACCCCTCCTGCCCCTGCACCCACCACTGGCACCTTGGCAGGGCCTCACCGTGGATGCCTGCCGGTGCCACCGCTGGTACTCTGCCAGCGTCTCAAAGGAAACATGGTACGTTTGAGCCTGTGCTCCAGCAGATGTGAAAGCCAGTGTGTACTGCCGGCGCTTCATCTCTTCCACCTGCAAAGGAAGAATTGAAACCACAACAGTGTGCATGAACTCCAGCAATTACAGCGGATCTGAGGTGCATGGGGAGGTACTACCGACTACCAGTAACATTATATTTTGCTTAAAACATAGCTGTAGTTACTGGAGAGAAACACAGAGGTAAATCCTTCTTAATATCTTTCTGCTGAAGTAGATCCAAGAAGTAATCATTTCCTGAATGCCCATTCACAACACTGGCTACTAACATGAAAGCAAAACTACTCCTTTGATTAGCCTTAAGACTACCACCTAAGCAAAGCATGTAGAAAGGGGTTGTACAGCTCTCTGCACTTGTTCAGGGAGTAATTTGTAATAAAAGCCTAGATTAATTTCTTGTGGATAATACCCATCATTACATTACCTTCCTTCCTAAGCCACAGGAAACGAAAGAAAAAACCTTACCTTTCCTCCAACCAGAGGCAAGATGTGCATCTTCCCAGCGTGGCTGTCTTTCAGAGAGGACACAACGAGGCACGTACCACAGAGGATTACCAAGCGCTCTGCCCACTTGTGCAACTGCGTTTTCCCTTTGCGTACATTATATACTCCAGAGAGCAGGATACGATCTAACTGTTCCACTTGACATGGCTTTTCTAAAGAAAAATGGGACATTGGCATTACTTTTCCCTTTGTTCTTCATTCTCAGCTTTGAGTATAAATAGCAGCACAGCCGTAACAATCAGTTATTGTACAGAACAAGTAAAGACAAAAGAGGTTGCACTTTAAAGAAGAACAAAACAAAGCCAAGAAAACAAAACCCTGTCATGGTTTAGAGAGCAGAGAAATCTGAGAGACATCCCTAAAGAGCGACAGAAACATGAAGGTTGCTCTCACTACTCCTGCAGGCCCAGAGGAGGCTGTAGAAATGGTCAAGACAGCTGGAACATCTCTCCTATGAAGAAAGGCTGAGAGAGTTGGGTTGTTCAGCCTGGAGAAGAGAAGGCTCTGGGGAGACCTTTCTTCAGCCTTTCAGTATCTAAAGGCTGTATCTAAAAGGGGCTTCTAAGTAAGACACAGAGAGACTTTTTACCAAGGCCTGTAGTGACAGGTCAAGGGGCAATGGTTATAAACTGAAGGAGCGGAGATTTAGATGAGATATTAAGAAGTTCTTCCCTGTGAAGGTGCTGAGGCGCTGGCACAGGGTGCCCAGAGAAGCTGTGGCTGCCCCATCCCTGGCAATGTTGAAGGCCAGGATGGACACAGGGGCTTGGAGCAACCTGCCCTGTGGCAGTGGGCTGGAACTGGATAAGCTTTAGGGTCCCTTCCAACTCAAACCAGCCTGGGATTCTACGAATCAATGCTGCAGGGGTTGGAACTAGGTGGTCTTTAAAGGTCTCTTCCAATACAAACCACTCTGTGACTCTACTATTCTAAGCATCCCTTATGATCTCAGCTGCAGGCTTTGCATAATCCTCCACAGCATTTCCTCTAATTCCATCCCTACCTTTAAGAACCACTTTGTCAGCCTGAACACTCTTCAATCCTTATACTCCTTCCTCCACAGTCTAAGCAGGACTACCTTCCCATGCTGACTGAAACTACCCAATTCCATTTTTTGCCTACTTACTTCCATGAAGTTGAGTCACTTCATGAATCTCCAGTAGCTCCTGCTTGACATAACCAAACTGAATTGCTTATTTTTTCCTCAGAAGTCCTCCTCAGCCCTATACTTGATGCCTCTCCTCATTCCAGCTGAAATAGCTTCTGACTCCCTGCTCCTTGCCCTATAAACCCATACTGTGTAAGTCGAGCATGCTACACTTCTTCCCATCTCCATTATACTTCTACACTGTTTTGCCTCTTCTGCACACAGCTCCCAAACAGAAGGGTGGAGAAGCTGATTCCCTACGATGCATTCTTCTGATACTGAATAAACAAATGATGGCTAGCTGCTTAGTCGTGCTACCCACTTCCACTATGCAAGAACAATTTTCCATTAAAAGCACTCTGATTTTTTTTCTGAAATGCAAAAAAAAAAAATACACAGGTGAAGTATTTAAAAGTAATGAAATCTTTTCATTGTCAGCCTTCCTCCCCCGTATTCATTTTATGTTTCCTCTTCACTTCAATGAATTCCTTTTCTGACTGCTAGTAGCATATACCAATGGATGGTGCCTATGACTATCATTCTGTTCCTTCTTATGCACACGGGATCCTGCTCAAACTGACTCAACAGGCCACTCAGAAGTCTTGCTTCTGTGGTCTAATGCACTGAGTTTCTAATGGCAGCCTGCATTATGATTAACCATCTGGCACTTTTACTCTCTATTTACAGACCTACCTTGCCCATATCCATTTGGAAGTGCAATCTTCAGGCATATCTAGACTGAACTGCAATGTTTCTTGTCTCATTAGGATCTCTAAGGCACTGGTTGTAAACACTGGAAACTAAAGACAACAGAGCAATCTTGTGTCTTCCCATGGAGCTGTCTTTTCTCAAGCCACAGATAGGATCAAAAGAACTACAGAATTGTGGGATTTTTTTTCTATTAATCTTGAAAACTCATTACTTTAAGAAAAGCTTACTGGTACTTTACATGTTTGATGTAGCCATTTAAAAACCCAAAAGGACAATGACTTGAGCTTCAGCTGAGTTCCACCTCATAGTTTAAGCTACAGGAATAGAAACAGTGTGCACACACACACAATTTCTTACCACTGTAAAAGCGAATCATACAGCTGAGATCAGAGTTTGCTGCCTCTTCCTGCATTCTGACAGGATCATCAAAACCCAACCCAGCCAAGTAGTCATACACAATCTGAAGGGGTTTTTCTGTGGGCTCCAGCCGCCTGCCAAAACATACGAGAAAGTAGTTTGAGAACACAAAAAAAGATTAAACAAGTCTCATTGCAGCTAAAGTGTAAGGAATACATGACCAGGGACATCTCCAGCTAGATGATGTTGCTCAGAGTCCTATCCAACATCACATACAAAAAATGACTAATGCCTTTGGTGACCAAGCTTGAAATTTCAAAGCATCAAGTTTATTTGGCAAGACCTGTTTCCTTCTAAACTTTGTTCACATACATCATTTACACTGCATGTCTTAACGTGAAGTATTTTATTACTGTATGTACCAAACCTTGCTGCTGCTTCTCAACTGAAGAACAAAAACATTTCTGATTCTTTTTAATGTTTATATTATAGCATTTCCACTACGACCAAGAGCTTTATAAACGGCATCTCATAATTGAGGCGGAACTGATTTCGTAAAGCATACACCATTTACAACTATCTAGTCATCCAGACTTCCTTTGTAGTCAACAAGACACACCCAAAAACTAAAATGACCTCAGGTATTTCAAGGACATACATTGCAACTCTTTACTGCACACACAGGACCTCTGGATCAGAAACAAGATTACTCTCAAAGTTATGGTCGAAAACAACAGATTCACCCTGAAAAGGCAATGTAGTTCATATGCAGCTGATGCAGAAAACCATTTCTTTCCATTCAACGTTTGCTAAACCTGATTAGGGCAACTTGGCTCCCCCGCTTTTGTTCTACATGGAAATACATCAACTTGCTAGCCAGAAGGCTGTACCTGAGATAACCCCCTTCCTCTCACTTCGAAATTGTCTCTTGGAGCTTCTCCTGACCATTAAACTTTTATTAGACCTTGTAGACTCTAGTCTTTAGTCAGCCTAAATATAATCGGAAAGTTATTGGCAAATTTCAACCCATAAATAGGCTTTATTTAACAAACAAAGGAGGAAAACCTTGGTCTGCATCTTCAAATCTACCCAAAGGATCACTCCCGGGTGGTGCTGGTTCACTTGGAAATCTGTTCTTATTCCTTCCTTGAATGGATTAGTAGGATCTAAATTTTAGTTTCTGAAACATCAGCTGCCCTAGCCATAGAAAATGTTTATTCACACAGTGTCTGCCACTAGTCATAATTTTTGTTTGATTTTTAGGGTTTATCCTAACTTCATGAAGCTTCCGATGTGACCAAAAACAATGTCAGAGATAACAATTTGCTACGTACTGTAAGTACACTCCAAAACTCATACATGAAGATAATATTAATGCATTAATTTGAAATTCAAGATGCAATCAGGTGACTGTCAGCAATGCATGCCATTGCTGCTGCCACTGCTGGTTCCTTGTGGGGGTTTGTGTTGGTGCTTTTTTTCAAGAGAAAAAGCATTTGAAAACTGCCTTTTCTTTCTGCCCCGTCTTTAAACCAGTAAAGAAAAGGAAATAAAGAGCGAGCCAATGTAGTTTAATGCAAATTCAGATAAACTTCAGCAGAAAGCATAATCCCTTTCCTTACCCAGGCCTAACTATCCTCTTCTGGTACCCACTCAGATGCTGACACAAATGTATGACAACAGCACAGTTTTCTGCCACATTCCCAATTACCTGTGATGCCTTCTTTGAAGAAAAATCCTGTGAAATGCAAATCCACCAAAACTTCTCAAAACAAATGGAACAAATGCTCAGAATCCACAGGAGTTCAAGGTACATAATGCCAAATTACTGAGCTCACATATTGCTGCTGTTCAACCTGACAACAATTCAGTACAGGTATTTCTAGCCCCTGTTACACTGACTGGAAAGTGAGTTTAATCTCCATGGCAGGTTTAAGGCAGCACTTGTTCAGGTTTAGTTATTTCGTTCTAATGCCATCACATTTCAAATCTCAAGAATACCTGGAAGTTGCTAGTACCATTTAATGTGTCTCAGAAGCAGAATCCAAGTTTGACTCAAATCAAACTTGCCTCTTGCAACTGGCATGACCTCACTTGATGTCATCCACTTTATTTCAGAAGACTTCTCATCTCATTGCAGATATAATTTGGAGAGCCTACAAGCAAGGACCAGATCCCATGTGTTCCAAAATAAAATGGAAAATAGCTTCCAAGCCAAACAAAACTCCCCAAAAAGTAAACAGCAGTTGAGAATGGAAATTCAAACAGTGCTGATCACCACCTGCAGCACCACCAGTTACTCTGACACTGCTCAGTTTCTTGGAATCCCTGGAAAAAGAGACTAATCCAACTACAGTAGAGGTCTTTATACAATCAGCATGAGAAGCTGATTTATGAAATGCTTTTTCTTTCCCTGTTTTGCGAGATAGACACGAGACAAGGGACTGGGTCAAAGGAGTGCAATGCCCTCAATGCTTTTTCTGCAGGGATTTCTTCAGTTCAAATGCAGGCTCTTGATCTTTTTTAAGATCTTCTGCCAAGATCGAGAAGCTTAGAGCCAAGCACTTCTGCAAATACGTAACTGAGATTTACATTCCCACTTTTTTTTTTTGCTACAGAAACAGATAGAGGTAATCTTGGAAATGACAAACCCGTGTACCTGTATCCTGGAACAGGCAAGCTACTAGGAACTGTAACAAATAACAGACTGCACCGAACAATACTGACTTCCAATACAGTAAACCCTGATCTGTTCTCCACTTGTCAGTGCAGAATCCAAAAAGAATATGAGATATTTGACGGGATCTCCAAATGCCTTGCCCGAGTTTCCCTTGACTACACACAGATTCCAATTCCTTTGCTATTAAAGCCTTATGTTTGCCAGAAAACAGCTTTTCCAGCATGTGACTCATGGCTCAGGAACCATAAGTGCTTGAGCATCATTCACAGAAAAAACACTTCAAGTAGTCTGCATCTAGATCTCCTAAGGAAAAACCAGACACTCCAATCTGGCTGCTGAATGGACTGAGGCTTTTGCGAGTACACGCTGCGCAATATGCTTGTACACCAGAATTCAGGAAGAACTTTTATACAGTAAAGGGATAAGCACTATTTGAACCACATAAATTAAATCACACTTCTACAGGTTGCCCAACACTGTGTAAGGTACAGTATTGTGCTTACCCTCCTCAAAAAGCTGGATACTGTATCCAACCATACTTCCTCCTTCTGCAGATGAGATCTGATGTTTCATTATTTTTATTTTCTCATCTTTTACTTCAGCAAGAGCTGGGCTTGTTCAGCCTGAAGAAGAGAAGGCTCCTGAAGGGGAGACCTTAGAGCAGCTCCAGTGCCTAGAGAGGCTCCAGGAAACCAGGAGAGGGGCTTTGGACAAGGGATGTAGGGACAGGCCGAGGGGAATGGCTTTAACCTGCCAGAGGGGAGATTGAGATTAGCTCCGAGGCAGAAGCTCTTCCCTGTGAGGGTGCTGAGGCGCTGGCACAGGGTGCCCAGAGAAGCTTTGGCTGCCCCATCCCTGGCAGTGTTAAAGGCCAGGTTGGACACAGGGGCTTGGAGCAACCTGCTCTAGTGGAAGGTGTCCCTGCCCGTGGCAGGGGTTGGAGCTGGATGAGCTTTAAGGTCTCTTCCAACACAAACCAGCCTGGGATTCTATGAATTAATGCTGCAGGGCATTAATTTGAATGCTGATTTGAAAACCCCCTAATTTTCTTACAAGATGTAAAACTTCAGCTTGTACCCGGTGTAATACTCACTGGATGCTAGCATACACAAAGAACACCCTGCCTGCCACAGCACCTGCTATTTGACACAGCCCTCTATATCCACATCAGTATCGCATATCAGATACTGGACACTTCCACTCATCAGAGAAGCAGCTCTGTTAAGCGAAGGTGCACAGGGTAGGGAGACAGAAAAGCCAGTAAAAAGTAGCAATAGTTCCAGAACTCCTGCTGCAACTGCAACATAAGCAACAGTCAAGTGTTTAAATCTTTGTAGTTTAAATTTTTGTTGTGACGGGTGTCCAGATACTAAGAAAGTATCCATGCTATTTTAATCCTCCCCTCTGCTGGAAGGTATAATTTCTGAACATGAAAGGTTGCTAACATAAGGAAAGATTCTGGCTAGAAGATCCTTGAGGTGCACTGTGGAGAAGAAAAGAAAGTTCTGACAGAAACTGACTTCCCTGTGCACAGACTTTAAAAGAAAATGCAGAATGATCATGAGGACACCACTGAATACTTAAAGTGAATTCTGTTATTCTTTCATTCATCATCCAGCGTTTAGTCTTCTAAGTCAGATGCCAAACCAATCTCTGCCATACTCAGCTTCTGAAAGTCACCTACTGATATTAAAAGGGTGAAGTCAGAAGCTGTTTGGGAGACAAATGTACCTAGAGTAAAACGCAATCAGATGCTTAATGGGGTAATCTGTATTTGTGAATACGTTATTAAAGTAATCAGCAAACTTTGTACAAGGAAGGAATTATCTCAGCAAGGCATAGGAATATCTTGAGTGTGCTGTCATCTTCCTGTGGACATGCAGGTAGGTCCCATCCAGGCCTGCTTCCTGTTACTAACACAGATGCTACTGAAGCAATACTGGAACTCCAAGGGAAGTAACTCAGGGATCTCTTCTGTGACAAATACATTCTGAGATTTATATGGAACAGACACTCTGCAATCAAGAACACTTCATTAAAGACAAAGCTGGACAAAGTGGTAGACACACCAAGAGGCAGAAAGAGTGGGAAGTCAACATTTACAACTCAGTACCTGCTTCCAAAACACTGGTAGCAGGACTGATCTGCAGATCCAGTGCAAAGCCTGCCACAAATCAAAGACAGGCATGGCTTCCTAGCATGAGAAAAGACACAGATACTGAAAACAATTCAAACACAAAAGCTATTTCAAAAGCTAAACAAAGTCCAAACATTCCTCTCTGAATGCACCTACAAGCTTTGCCTCGCCTTTCCCATGAGCTGCAGTAAAGGGTCTGCTCTTCTTTCTGAACGCTGGACAGATCTGCTCACCATTAGGCTCCAAAACAAGCCAACTCCCTTATAAATTCTTCAAGCAACAAATGGAGATTTTCAGCTGCCTCAATGGCTGTGTTAAGGTGTCCATCTATCCCTATAGATATCCATGTATCTACATAAACTCTACCTACCTATAGATAACAGTTAGAAGCAGTGCTCCTAGCTGAACTATCCCTGGTTCCAATAACCAGACTGGGCAGGGCCAGCGGGTCTCAACACCTTCTGTCAGTAGCCAGTTTTAACCTCATCCTATTCTCCACATCCCTCACCATAAGCTCTCCCTTCCCCTGCCTCACCCAACACATCCCGTATTTTTAAAATCTGGACAGGTGCAACTTGGGACTATTGTTTCACTATCAAAAACCACCCACCAGTCCCATTCAGTGTGTGCTGGAATGGCTGCTCAGCCTCCAAGAAAGGAGACTACAGCAAGTTTTTCTTCCCTGAGACCAGGAGTGGCACCTTTGTAACTGAATCTTAAGTCCAAAAGAACGAATGCAAAGTCTAAATCTTAACAAACCTAATGGGAGGTTGTAAACCCAGAGGAGTCCATAATATACCCACACAGCATAAAGTTCATACACATTAAACCCTGAGCTGTCTATTTTCAGCCTAAATCAACTGCAGGCACAAAATATATAACCTCATGCTTAAGCCTTCTTTATACAACTCTTACCACACTATCTTTCTGAATACCTTTAATTATTTACCTGGCAACTCCTCTTAGCAAGAAAATTACTAACACATAAATATTACATAAGTATGAAAGCACCTTACATGTTTCACTTATTCAGAATAACTGAGTAAGTGAAACTTACTGTGAGTACAGCCTCTTCAATAGCTTAATTTTTCTGGATGCTAAAATGTCCGTAACACAGAATATAGCAAAGGAGTATATGAACAGAAGCCTCTACCTGCAGAAGGAGGACGTTTCTGGTTGTAGCACCAGACAGACCCTTCCAGCTAACACACCTATTGCCAAACCACATGTGCAGAAGGCACACCACCGCTTCAGTGTTACGAACAGTGTTACTCAAGGCTGCATCCAACTGCTCCCTGTGGAGGCACACGGTGAACAGAGCCCCGCCAGACTGAAGCCAATGTTTCTCCAGCAGGTTTATCCCTTCTCAGCCCTCACCTGACAAGGTCTCCATGAAGTTGCAGAAAGAGGTTTTTCCTCCCTTCTCCATCGCATATCTCGGACGCTGGGGTCTCCACCGTGCAAAGGACCAGGCGCAAGT